ATAAAACTTTGATTAATTCATTTTATGTATTTTATTTTACTTAAAAAATATTACATTTAAAGTAATAAGTTTCAAAAATGCTTTAGCTGATCTTTTTATTATTAAATTATTCATTGAAATTGGGGTCATTGTATGTCACAATCCCAAGGTTCATTGCGTTTGCAATGTTCACTGTGGTTTTCCACTCGTTAAATAAAAAGTGTTGATTTAGATTATGCCATTGGCTTTTTAAGAATTCCTTATTGTTATATCATAACTGTAACAAGTGTCAATTCAGTCATATTCTCCCATTAAATCAGCTTTCATAATGTTATATAGAGGTCAAGTTGGTTTTATTTTCGCACATTCAAACTTTCTGCTTAATAATATAATTTCAGAAAAGTTTTCTTTGCAAATTTTACATGGTGTAATTATATTAGCGGTCAATGACTATCAAAGTAAAGCATTGTTCACAGTCAATTACATAGTGCTAATATTGTTTTGAAGTCATTCTTGCATGCTATTTCAGACTCAATAATCATCTTAGTGTGGTAAACAGTATATGGGCCATTAAATAAACAAATGTGTGAATATCAAACCTACTTTACCTCAATTAATGTTGTTTATCAATATGTGGACCTTTTAATATTCTCGGAAGCTATGGAAATTAAAAATGTAAAACAGGAAATGCATCAGGACTATTGTTATTGTTTACATTCCTTAAAATGGTCTGTTACAATGTTTATTGGACACTCAGATTGTTTTTGCCTACATATACTGCCTGAGCAGTCAAAACTTGTTTATTTTCTTAATACTTATTTATTTTCAATTTTTGTTTTTTACAGGTCAGTTGCTTAAAAAAGCTGAGATAAAGGAATACGCTAGCATTCTTGTGCATGTTAAAGACAAAGACAGTGCATCAGGTTCTTGACAAAGATTACTGGAACAGTTACACAGGCGTCAGAAAAACAGTGTTTTTTTTTTTGCTTCTGCATTTAAAACAATTTAATATTTAATTAAAACAAATGCTAATTTCAAAAGTTAAACATTAATCTACATGGACCACTTGTAACAATAATTCAGCATAATAGAATATCTAGTCATATGTGAGGGTAAAAGAATGTTGAAATAATTTGTCAAAGTATTTTCCTTCTGAAGAATAAAAAAACTCACTTTGCTTGGTCCATTGCTTTTACATGTACATGTACACGATATATGCATTCCAAATATAGAAGCCAGTGTAATAGCTACAGAACATAAATAATATTTGTTTTAATTAGAAATGAGCCAACCTAAGGTGTAAGCTATAAGATCTTCTCTGAGAGAGTCATCCACCATTAAAAAATTGTAAACCAAGGGGTGTCGACAATGACAAGGCTAAGAAGAATATGGTAAAGAGCCATGAAGATCTTGATGCTTTAACTACAGGTAGTTTAAATAACATAAGTTTCTTTTGCAGCTTTGAAATGAACATTTAGGCAAACTTTTTTTTTCTCACAAATTAAGTAATCATCATGTAATAAATAATGATCCTCTTTTTAATCATAATGACCTGACAATGTTATTTTTATATTTTGTAATTGTGATCATCATTTACTGTATTTTTATTTTATTTTCTTTCAGGCAGGATAAATTAAAGTGGAGGCCGTCCCATGTTTTCCCCCAGCTGGTGTTTCACTCTCCTAACCAGCGCAACATCAATTAATTGAATGAAATGGTTAAATGTTGAGACGCTTTCTGCAGACTGGTAGAACCAATACCTCATCTGGTTGAAAGAATACCTTATCCATCAGGTACAGAAGTCAACGGACGTAGCTAGCAAAAGTGATGGTGAAAGCACATATATATTCCATATATATATATATATATATATATATATATATATATATATATGAGCAATATATATATATATATATATATATATATATATATATATATATATATATATATATTAAGGGTGGAGCCGAATACGGTATTCGGAAAGGCACGAATAGCGTGTTTTTACGAATACTTGATTCGAACAAATACTTGAAAAATTATTTGTATTCGGGAGCAAGAAAAACACTATATCAAAAAGCAGCGTTTCCTTATAAGACCACAGTGCATGCCCGCGTGAGTGAGTGAGTGAGTGAGTGAGAGAGAGAGAGAGAGAGAAAGACACACGCTCAGTGCAAAACGCGCCAAAGCCCGAAACTGAAAGCGAGACGTGACTTTTAAGGGACTGTTTCATATGGATTTATTAATCATTCTTACTGTTCAGTGATCGCAAACTGCCGTAGTTTATTAAAGACGCAAACCTCTCACTGCACGTCAGCTGTGCGCCTTCAGCAGACCTCCTCATTCCTGCAGCACGAGAGCTTTATGATTGTTTATGCGCGCCAAAAGTGGCGGATCTGTCCGGTAAAATATCTGACTGAGTGTCACCACATCCCTAAGGACTGTTTGGCGAAATATTTGACTGCATGTCACTGCATATCAAACGACTGAAACGATATAACTAGAGAAATCTCCACTGTGCCACTGTGCGTATGGCAAGCCGTTTTAGCATTTAAACCTTGTTCAGACTATCCATAAATATATTTAGAGATATCTCTAATTATATTTTGACTTGTCATAATTATAATTCAGATTGGAAATATCTGCAAATATATTATGACTGACTAGTCATATTCCTCCATTGACTTCCATTGAAAAATATTTGCAGATATCTCTAAATAAACAAACAAACAAACTTTGTGTCTTTTTTGTGGCTGGCAGATGATAATAGCAGGGCTGTAGGTTTTAGTATTATATAGAATACTTTTGTTCTGCCAGATCTCCCAGGCAGGGTTTTATTTAGATTTATTTAGTTAATTTTAGTTTTTGGAATTCTGTCCATTGGAAAAAAGTTCTTTCAGAAGAAGAACAGTTTTTTTGAAGTATTAATTGTTTTTATTCTGTCTATTCAGTGTCCTTCAACAAGAACGGTGGTGGTGGGGTTCATAATATTCACAATGGTATTTTATTAGTTGTTGGTTTAACCATGGGTGAGATAATGGCTTCTATGTTATTTTCTTTTCAATGACATTTCTTATCACATGTTCAAAAACAACAGCCAATATTGCATATCTATAATTTATATAATGGGTATAATTAAACAATACTTTCACTATAACGTAAATTAGAAGTGTAATAGAAAAAAATATATATTTCTGCGCCATTTTGAATTTTACTCGAATACAAATACAAATATTTTTCCCCCTCAACAAATACAAATACAAATACCGGCTGCTCCGCACATCCCTAATATATATATATATATATATATATATATATATATATATATATATATATATATATATATATATATATATATGAGCAATTTCACACTCGTAGCAGTGCGATATGGCTGTAGTGCCCCCACCACTGCCGATATACAGCCATATCGCACTGCTACGAGGTGTGATATTGCGTTTATACAACAGTTTGATGGCATAATTGTGTATATAAAAACAAAATCAAACATGAAGAGTCTCAAAAACTCTTTTGTATGAGGAACTACTTTCTATTCTATGAGAATATCGCATGGCTATCAGCCAATCAGATTTAAGAAACAGACAGAACTGTTGTGTGTGTGTGTGTGTGTATATGCCAAAGCTTGTAGTGATTGAATTAGCTGAGTTATAACCACAGCATGAGGGCACACAAACATCTGTATGAGAGTTTGCAGCTCATCAGACTTTTCAGTTTCTTTGACTCTTTGCCACCAGAAGACTGAGATGAGTGTATGGTGGTCGTAAGAGAGATCACATGTGCATTCCAGAACAGGACAGTGGATATTTTGTATGAAAATGAACATATCAAACTATGTTTTTAAAATGTAGATTTCAGGTTCTTATGATGGTGATAAGGATAGTAGTGACAGTAACTTTTGTGGACATGTTTTAGATCATTTTTGTTATTTATTTGCTCAACACAACACACATACAGTAAATGTAGATATTACTGGAATTACATAAACCACAAATATAATGTAATGTAAATATAATGTCGGTATCAAATGAAAGCTTACATTCATGGGATGTGTGTAAATGTTCAGAGAAAAACAGACTTTGAAATGAATATCAGCTTGTAAACATAAGATATTAGCTCAAAACCTTACTCCATAAGTACTACTATATAGGTGCATGATTCATGCCAAGTTTACAATTTGTAGTGTAAGACAGTGGAACACTGCACAAGTTTTAGGACTTTCATGTCCAGGCGGAAATTTAACATTTTAAATCATAGTCTTTGCTCCTATTTTACTTTTTCATGTACTTGGCTCTAAAACCAATTATATTTATTTTTTTACATATTATTACATTTATAAATTCCTTCCAATTCAACTCCTGTCTCAAGTCTTCCCACATCACAAAATTTCTCTGGCCCACACAATCAGGTTTTGCTTGGCCCACATTCTGCAGTAAATTATGGTACATGACTGGACCAAATCTGGCTACCAGACAAGAGTCAAACACAGACTATATCTGAGCCAAGTCTCAGCCAAGTTAATAACTCATACACAGGGCCAGATTGGTTGGTGTGTCATAATTGCAATGAAATTGATAAACCCATGAAGTGTTGCACTTTAGGCACACTACACACTATGGGCCTGCTTTTTTCTCAAAATGACCTGATTTGTACAGTTTTTTTTTTTCTACACAAAAATTATTTTAATATATTTTAAATGTGGGTCAAGACTGGCCAAACTCACCTGGCCCACATTTCAATTTTTAAAATCTGGGCCAAATACTACATTTTACATCTGGCCCAAATCTTGTGTGCTGCCTTAAAGACGATGCCACCTCTGCCAAACCCAAGCCATGTTTGGCCCGAATGCTGTATGCCAGTGCCAAATAAATGCCTGCTGTCCCAGCTTTATGCCAAATCTGGGCCAGAATTCTTTTGTACTAGAATTTGGAGTACCTGCTAATATTTTTGATGTAATACTGTAACTGTGTAGTTGTTTGGAAATGACATAAAATATTTCAGGCAACCTATTTAAGAAAAGATTCTTGTTTAATTATAACAATCACAAAATTACAGAATCTTGATTAATTTTTCCTAGGAAGCATGGTAATTTCCATTAAACCCTGCTGGTGACCTTTTTCCCTTATCTAATCTGTCATACTCAACAGAGAGATGGGAAGGTGACCAGCTTTTAGAAGGCATTCAGGGATCAAATACTCAGTCAGAGTCCTGGACAGGGACATAACAGAAGAGGAAGCTTTTACTTTAACAATAGAGCGCCTGGATCACACTAAAGGGCAAAACCTAAACCTATTCGAATATAATTATGTAGGTACCCGAGTATTCTTGCACCAAGCTGCACACACACATCCACATGCTCTGCAACAATACATTCCACTTTTTCGACATTGACACTGCAGTGAGTTCCACCTTCCTTGCACCCAAAGATCATGAGCTTCAAACATCTGGCCTGTAAAGGTTCTTTCGTCAAAAGCTTGGGGACCAGCACACCATCTTTCATGTGCCAACCACAAATAGTTGGTGGTAGTGCTACGTTTTGCTCTTGTTCCACCATTTATGGAGTTCTGTTGGTACTGATCAAACACTAGATCAACTCTAGTAATGTTCCTATGTAGATAACCAGTCACTATCTGCATTTAAATATCAGAATAATCTCCAAAAGATTATGCATTTACAGGTTTTACGATTGCTCTTACTAAGGCCATCCCATCAATGATGGTGCCTATGCTCACAACAGATGGACTTAGCTCTGTCTCCTTTACACCAGCTTGTAGGATGGTAGCTAAGTCAGCTTTGTTAGTCTGAGTGTTGAATCTGACGTGGCAAGTGACAGGGGGACTGCGCACAGTTCTTGTTGGAGAAGCTCATCTGTTAACCTCTCTACCACTGTCCATGAATACAATGATCTCATGTAAAATATCCCTGTCAGGCTATACACACTTGGATCTAAGCTTTACAGGTTTATCTGTGCTGTACAAATTTGAGAATGTTTTGGTGTTTCTGGGGGTAAGGGTGCTGTGGAAGTCTTGTGCTCAATCGTTTTTTATTTTTACAAACTCATTGACAATTTTTTTCCCAGAATCTGCAGCATTTATAGGGTCTTTCAGAATATCTTCTGAAGCCACATCACCGGTTGTCAAAGAAAACAACTCGTGCATATTCTCCATTTGAATGACATGGTATCTTCGGAACTGGTCTACAAGTTTAAAAGCATCATTGTTATCCCTTCTTTGACTTGATGGAAGGCAGTCTTTGTGGGTGTCTTTTTTCATCTTCTCCATCATGTGTCAGTTCATACAAAGATCTTGTATCCTGTGGAAAGGATGCTCGTTCGTTGTAGGTGATTGACAAAGGGTTTCTAGCTCATTTCGAGTGATGGCTACCAACCTTCCAGCAGCCTTTGTTGTTTTGTTAGTGTGCTCAAGACACAAGTCATAAGGCACCCCACTGAAGCTGTAATTGGTCTCTTTGGCTACAAAATTTCCATCTAGGAAGCCTTTGTAGACCTCTAGTGCTGTCTGTGCCAGATGTTCCATGTCTGCTATGAATACAGCACCCTATCTTTTGTATTGAGTGTGGTCATTTGCAGGAAACCAAGGCATCATGCTCTTAAAGGCTGGCGTGTACAATTTACAGTTGCCACATCTCGGACCCTGTGTGAATGCCAAGAGAATAGACACAAGCTCCATGTATTGCCTCCAGAAGGCAAAAGTTAGTTTGTCTTTGTTAGCCTTGTCAAATTCAGCAAGTAGATCTTCAAGCTCTCCAACTTTTTTCATAGCGTACTGCAGCTGGTTTAGTTTCTCCACATCGTAAGTGTTCTGAAATTGCTTTTGCCAACTCAAAGAAACTGTTGTCTATTGTGATATTGTCATCTATCCACAACAGAAAAGTTGGCCACAATATTCTCCAAAGTGCTTCAGAGGCAAGTGTGTGTGCACAAGCTACATGGTTCTATCCATTTCCTTTCATGATGTTTTCAGCTGTGTTCTTTCCAAAAACACTACTTTCCTCAAAAATGTCCCTCAGTCCTGAATCATCAAGGTGCTGGCCAAAAATCTTTAAAAAGTTCATCTGCACATGAAATACACCCAGGAGAATAACAAATTCTCACACTCTATTTGGTGGTGCCACAGAATCATCTTTGCTTTACAATAGAGCTGCTCATCAAAAGTTATAACTATATTGATTTGGCCTAGTTTTGTAATCATTTTGTGACAATTCTGTAAAACTGTTCAAAGTGTGTCATAATCATGTGCTGGAGAATTTATGATGGGCATCATTCAAGCTACTGTTTTTGGGTGATCTGATTTTGACATAAGGTGGTTGAAGCCACTCCAAGATGGAACAGTAGTATCTGACTTTTTTGTTTGTAGATAAATAGAAAAAAAAGTTATTCTATTTGTTGAAATTATCTCTATATTCGTTGAAGTTTTCGTTGAAAACATCTGCTATGAAAAAACCTTTACTTTATTATTTTTTTAAGGCCTTATACCAAAGCTTTTTAGAAAAAAACAGCAGCCCCTGTGGTGCAATACTCCTTTGGTATACTGATTTTTTATTTTTTTTAAATCTCATGTTTATACATTAGTTGAATTATATTGCAAATCATTTCAAAATTATAAGCTGATGTTCAGAAAAATAAAGGAAGCACTTGGGGATAAAACACGATTTTACCACTTTAAGAATAGTCATGAAATGGACAAAAATTATTTTCTAAGCTGACAACCTGTCTAGAATACATTTTAAGGGGTCAAATATTAACACTGTATAGGTTGTCAACTTTTACCCTGAGGTGTCCACAAAAGTTACAATATCAGTGCATCCTCATGTGGTGATTAAGGGATGATGAATGGCTGAAACTCTTCCCACACTGAGTGCATGTGAATGGTTTCTCTCCAGTGTGGATCCTCGTGTGGTGATTAAGGGATGATGATTGGCTGAAACTCTTCCCACACTGAGTGCATGTGAATGGTTTCTCTCCAGTGTGGATCCTCATGTGGTAATCAAGGGATGATGAGCGACTGAAACTCTTCCCACACTGAGTGCATGTGAATGGTTTCTCTCCAGTGTGGATCATCATGTGTAGTTTAAGGGATGATGATTGGCTGAAACTCTTCCCACACTGAGTGCATGTGAATGGTTTCTCTCTAGTGTGGATCCTCATGTGTTTATTAAGGTATGATGAGTGGGTGAAACTCTTCCCACACTGAGTGCATGTGAATGGTTTCTTTCCAGTGTGGATCATGATGTGAATCTTAAGTTTGCTTTTGTTTGCCAAACTCTTTCCACACTGAGTGCATGTAAATGGTTTCTCTCCAGTGTGGATCATCATGTGAATCTTAAGATTGCCTTTTCTTCCAAAAATCTTCCCACACTGAGTGCATGTGAATGATTTATTTCCAGTGTGGATCATCATGTGAATCTTAAGTTGGCTTTTGTTTGCCAAACTCTTCCCACACTGAGTGCATGTAAATGGTTTCTCTCCAGTGTGGATCATCGTGTGAATCTTAAGATTGCCTTCTCTTCCAAAACTCTTTCCACACTGAGTGCAGGTGAAACAATTCTTGTCTCTCCTTTTCAAAATACCATCAGTCTGTAAAAAAGTTTTTTCCTCAATTTTGACATGATGTTCCTCCTCTTTATTCCTTTCATTCTCTTCAATCAGGTCTGAAATAAATAAAACATTAGTTTTCATTAAGTCTTAAAAACTCTCATCAAAAGCTGAAAAGTGAAAAGACACTGGAAACATTGGCTACACACACTGTAATTTTGATGCACATTAAATGTAAAATAAATCAGATCATATTTTCAGATCATATTTTCTATTAACATACACATTTATGCAAATTTAATTCATCTTTATTTATCTAGTGCTTTTACAATGCAAATTGTGTCAAAGGCGCTTAACATAGAAGTTATAGTAAATTGAAACTCTGTCAGTCATAAAAGTTTTTTTGGTCACATTGATAAGACACAAATTTGAAAGCTGTGGGGGGCCTATTTTTATTCGTATATATTCATAATTACAACAAAATTTAAAAGTTTTTTCTGTGATAACAGTCAACATTGTTTAATTGGTCTCCACCCATTGGATGGCAAAAAGGAAATGGGCGAAAGTAAAAAGGAAGAGGAGGAGAGTTGAAGTGGGCAGCATTATGTGGGGTGCAGAAGAAAGAGAAATTGACTGAACTGTTGCAGTGCGGGGAAACGAGTAGAAAAACCGGGTCGAGACTAAAACAAAAATTGAAAGTACGTATTGAAAGTGGACTCCGCTACTAGCCCCCATGCTAATGCTAATCCCGAAGTGCAAGCTGTAACTAAAAAAAGAGACGGCTGTGGTGAGTAATAACAGTGCAGTCCTCCAAGCTATTGATGCACTTTGTAATCAAATTGATGAGCTTCGGACAGAGTTACGCAATGTTGTGGAGCACATAAATGCCAGAGTGGAAGCAGCGGAAGAGTGGGTGACTGGTCTGGAGTCTGTGTTGGGTGGATACTCAAACTCTCTTACTACCCTGCAAAAAAGGGTTGAGTATCGTGAAAAAATAAGCTGGCTCTGCTGAGAGACTGAAGCGAGGATCTTGCGAGGTCTCGCTGCTCAAATCACTGCATTACGGGAGTTAAAGAAGGACAGGAGCACGGCAGACGCATAACGGAATTTGTAGCCGGCCTCCTGAAAGATACCCTGAACCTCGAGAAGACTCCACTTCTGGACCGGGCACACCGCACTCTACGTAGCAAACCAGTGGACGGCAAGGAACCGCCAAGGCCCTTCATGATTAAATGCCACTACTTTCCAAAAAAGAGGATATTTTGAATAAAGCCATTGGTTACCTTCAAGTTACCACTTATTAAATTACATGTTCGTTGTTGTTGTTTCTAGTTCTCAAGTATATTTAGTCAATAATGGCATAGCTTTGTAGTAAAACATCAAGAGCTGTTCAAATTGTTTTGTTTTACACGTGAGGTCCTACATGGTCAGCTATTTAAGAGTGGGAGTAGCTGGAAGTGTGTGCAAGTTTACGTGCAAGGTTTCAATATTGTGTTGTTTCGTGTTACCTTTTGGATGCTTCTGATAAATGTTTTCGACAGCCCTCCATAAAATGGGTGGAGTAAAAACAAACTGTACCAGTTGGAATGTGCGGGGGCTAAATCACCCAGTGAAACAAAACAATGTGTTCCTATATCTTAATAAGTTAAAATCTGATATTGTATATTTACAGGCGACACAAAAAAAGACTATTCTAAACTTAATAGAGGAGTCCATACACAAATATATAATTATAACTTCAATTTCAAAAGTAGGGGTGTTGCTGTACTCACACATAAGAATGTTAAGTTTGTTTTGGAGTCAAATGTGTTGCATAAAAATGGCAGATACATAATAATCCAAGGTTATCTTTTTTTTCAACATGTCTGTGGTCCTGGCCAATGTGTATGCTCCCAATTTTTGACGATGTACAATTTTTCAGTGATTTATTTTTAATTATTTTAGTTACTAATGCAGTCAAAATCTGTTTGCTAATTGCAATCACACATGAAAACATTACTGCATCTAAAGACTTTACATTTTTGTGCACTAAGCTATGATTTTGTAAAATGAACAATGTATTAGTTCATGAAATATGGTTCATTTTTGTAAATGTATACAGTTATATAAAACTTCCATGTTTTTCACAGAAAGATTCTGGCAACCACAGCTGCTGGTATTTTTTCGGAAATTTAACAGATATTTTACACAATAAGAGTTTGCTAATTAACACTCTCTTGGTGTTGACAATGTTAACACTTTCAAAAGTGTAATTTTTAACACTTATAATGGTTCCCATATAAACTCTGAGGGAGTGTTAATTTTAACTCCAAGGTAGTTAAATCTACTATCTAAAATTTGCAGTGCATGGAACAGATATCATGAATGTGCGTAGCTTCCGTGGTGCAGATTTAGACTCATATCACTATATGGTAATGATGAAATACAGACAACAAATAGCCCGAATAAGCATGAAGAATAATCCAAAAGTGCGTAGATTTGATACTCAGAAGTTACAGAATTCAGAAGTGCACTCAAACAGTGAACTCAATCAAAGATCCTCCCTAAGTGATAGAACCACTGAGGGTGACTGGGGTGCCATAAAGAATTCAATCATATCAGCTGCACAGGAAATTATTGGCTTTAAGAGATGAGAAAGTAAGCAGCATTGGTTTGATCAAGCGAGAAATGATGCACAGAAAAAGATGCTCCGGAAAAAACACCAGGAACAACCATCATAAGTTAAGAGCACGAACAAATGCCACACAGATCTGCAGACAGAGAAAGAGAGAGTGGAGGAGCAAGCAAGAAAAAGAAATAGAGGAAATGGCAAGACAGAAAGAAATCAGAGCCATGTATGGACAGATAAGGAAAGAAAATAAGGGATTTCAAGCCAGAAATACGATGATCCTAGGAAAAGATGGTAATCTAGAAGAAGTTCCTACCAGGGTTGTAGAAAGGTGATGAGAATGGTTTAAAGACCTACTGAATCATAATAGCAAAATTGGGCTATCTGAAAGCCAACAGACTACAGCTCCCGAAGTGGAAGTGTCGGAACCTAGCCTTTCAGAGGTGGAAGAAACTATCAGGTCAACAAAGAACCATAGAGCTCCAGGAGAAGATCTGATCACTGCAGAACCGATATAAAATGGAGTTGAAACGCTTGTAGAAATCAAAATCTGTAGACAGGAAAAAATGTCGGAAGAATGCAGAATCGCACTGATTTTTCCTATACACAAGAAGGAAACAAAGCTGGTGATGCACTTTCCTGTATCCCGTTTAATTTAGTACTGAAGAAAATAGTGCTACAAATAGATGAACCCTGGAGGTACATTGTTTAATAGGACAGTGCAGTATCTGGCTTATGCAGATGATGTAGACCTACTCAGCAGGAGGGAAAGAGAACTGAAAGAAAGCTTCATACAGCTAGAAAGAGAATCACAACGGGCAGGCCTACATGTGATTACGAACAAGACAAAATATATGCTCATGTTAAGGTCTCAAGAGTACCACAACAGAATCCCTGCAGGTAGGAACGCACTTCTTTGAACGTGTTCCTAATTTAAATTATCTGGGATCTCTGCTGACAGACTGCAACAAAAACAGTTAGCAAATAAAAGACAGGTTGAAGGCAGGAAACAAGGCATACTATAGCATGCAGCACCTCTTTCAATCTTGTCTGCTGAGCCGAGAAAGCAAGGAAAGACTCTACCGTACAGTACTATGGCCAGTGGTAATGTATGCCAGTGAAACTTGGGTATTGAGAACTCGGGACAAACTGCTTCTTTACGCATGGGAGAGATCCTAAGGAGGATTTACAGACTGAAGTGTGACCAAGGTGAATGGCGCATAAGGAATAATGCAGAAGTGGCAGACATGTATGCAAACCCAAGCCTGGTTACAGAAATAAAGAGGAACCATTTAGGATGGCTGGGCCATTTAGAGTCTCCCCGAACAAAGAGCTGTTAAAAGAGCACACAAGCTAAAACTAGAAGGAAGGAGATGTCCTGGTAGGCCACAGATAAGGTGGTTAGATGACGTAGAAGATGATCTATATACCCTAAGAGTGCATGCCTGGAGAATGCAGGCTTTGGATCGGGAAGGATGGAGACGAGTGGTGGAAGAGGCCAGGACTCTACATGGGCCGTAGCGCCTCCGGAAGAAGAAGAATGGAATGCTCTGAAAGTATTTATGAGGATAGATTATTTCATATCAAGCTAGTGCAAATAAAAATAAGTCAAATGGCTTACAGAGATTATGAAAAAAAATAATACAATTGATCATCTACCCTCAACATCACCTTCAGAAGAACTCCATAAGAAAATACTTATTCTGCAAGCATAATATGACTCCTTGACAAGTGAAAATGCAGAGGATCTCCACATAAGATCAAGCCAGATTCATTATGAACATGGTGAACGAGCTGGCAGGTGATCGTGTTACCAACTGTAACAATCCTCAGCAGCTGGTTTTATAGCAGCTGTTAGTAAGGATGATGCAGTATTATTACTTCACTATCTTCCGGTGGCGCTGCACTGCTGGCGACACGGGCACTTGTTGCTGCTGACGTTTTTTGTGAAATTGCTTTTGAACTTGCTGGTATACTTAATTATTTCAACTTTGTGGCGGTACACTGGTACTTTAGTAGTTTCGGGTGCAATATCAGTATGACGACTTTCGTAGAACTCTTTATTGGCCTGCTAATAATCGGGCACCTGTTTTCTGCCGGCTACACGCACATAACAACGAATAGCGACCTGATCATGGTATACACAAGAGAGGACTTGCTTCAGCTTCGGTCAGCCGACTTTGATGCACCACCTAACCTTCCCGACTGTTTGAGAAACAGGGTGACGGCGAGTACATGTCATCGGAAAAGAGGTCACAGAGGCGGCGTCCGGCGGCGTTTTCGCCGACGTGGAAACAGACCCCCATTACCTGCAATTATTCTTAGTAACGTCAGATCATTGCAACAGAAGATGGATGAACTGCGCATCAAAGCTAGAGCCTGCTTTGAGTATCGAGAGGCGGGTCTCCTGGCACTGACTGAAACGGTAATAACAGATTATATTAATTTCTGCACTGAGAATGTGATACCAAAAAAAGAAATAGTCATCTATGCCAACAATAAACCATA